ACAGGGCTTCTTAAACTTTTTTTATTTACGACCCCATTTATGATTGTGATTTTTGTCGCGACCCAAAAAATATAAAATAAAGATATATACAAATTTGCAAAAACAATAATGGTGTACTACCACAGTTCATTCTTGTGTTACAATGGAACAGAGACAACTGAATACACTGAAAAGTGACAACACTACACTAGTTCACACTACAGTGTTGTTGAATCGTTGTCTCGCTGCACCAGAAGTGACACAAAGCGCAACTCACGAAACCTATGACACAAAGCATGCCATTTTCAAACTCTCACGAATTATTTTTCATATTTTGCATTAAAATCTCGCGACCCCAAGATTTCGCTAAGCGACCCCAAATGGGGTCGCGACCCATAGTTTAAGAAGCCCTGGTATAGTATATTAGTATATCGCTATTAACCAACTTCTCGTTGAATTTTCATCGATGTTTAGCCTAACAAATTTTTTTTTTTTAAATAATAATCGTAGCTATTGTATCATTAACAATTATTTTTAAATTATTTTATTGCTCACGAAACAAACAACCACTCATAATTAGAAAATTAAGTCTCGTTTAAATACTGGCCTCCCTTCAATGGTCGAGCCATTGATGCCAGCTAAAACATGCAAAAATTTAACAAAAATAATATTATTAAAGTAGCCAAGACATAGCCAAATATTGTAGTGCCACATCACTAGTGGACATTTGAAATTTGCCGATTAGAACGGTTGGTTAACCAATGTGACGGTTAATCGGGGGTCAGATAATCGATGGTCTACTGTATTTTATTTGTGTTTAATGTATTTTCTTTTAATAAAATTATATGATTATTATTATTTTAATTTTGTTTTTCTTTGTGTTGTGTTGTTTGCTTGACTTAAAAGCAGTTAGGTAGTCATCCAAGTTTTGGATTTTCTTAGAAAATGGGAACTCTGTTTAATTATAGTCCTAATACTTACTCTTCCTGGCTTTATTTATATTACTTTAACACCAGTAAAATATTTTTTTAAATCACAATTTTCTTTAATTGTCCAGAAGTAATGTGGGTTGGATAAAACCTTATTATGGGCCATAGTTTGGTGATCCCTGTAGACTGTTACCATTTTTAAATGTTGTTAAATCAAGAAAATTAATGCTACTATAACTACCACTGGGGACAGATAGAACAACAATAAGTTGGCAGGTGCTAATCTATCATTTGCAGTATTTAAAAATTTTTTCAATAATCTAGTTTTTAAATTTTTAAATTAAATTACAAAACAGTAAATATCATATTAAAACTCTAATTTTTTAAATTTAAAAATATAATTTTATTGTGATGTTTTTAAAATCATAATAATATTATATTTTAAATTATGAGGAAATTATATGTAATCAAAAGTAATCAAAATTAAACTGAAAGTCGTATAATAGCTTAATGTTATCATTGACTCTACATCTAAACTTGTATTAAATTTAATGGACAGTAATTCATAAAAACATAGACTATTGTATTTATTAACATGGCTCAGTATTTAAATGATATTTTGCTTATTATTGAGAAAATAGTTTCCAAAGTGTAAAGAAGACTTCTCTATAATTTTGATTAATCATTTCATGAATTAATTCTTTAAAGTTTATAAACTGTTTTCTATGATTTTATAATTAATGGTTTTTTTAAACATTTAAATTATGTCTTATTAAAACAATTTCATCTGTAAGCAGTTAATTTGATATCTTTATTTTAGTGAAAAAAGTAAAAGAAGAACAAAAACTATTGCCAATACTAATGAGCCAAAATGGAATCAAACATTTGTTTATTCTCCGTTAAGGCGTTCAGATTTAAAGACAAGAGCTTTGGAAATAACTGTGTGGGACTATGATAGATATGGTGCTAATGATTTTCTTGGAGAAGTAAGTAGGTGTGATATTTTTATGTTTATCTTTCTTAGTAGTAGACATAATATTAAATAAATTAAGTTTGATATTGAATATATTAAAATTAATAAAAATATTAAACAGAACTTAATAAACTTCTACATTTACAAAACACTGGGATGAAATCAACATGTATCTGAACCAGTTACTGGTGTTGGAGAAAAGATGAATAAAAATTGTAAACGTTTTCAGAACTTAATAATTAAAACTAAATAAAATTTACAGAAAATAATAACAAAATGATTGAAAAATTGTAAAACTTTAAATTAAAGACAGGCGTTTTGATTTCCAACAGACTGTGACAAATTNTTTAATCTTACTGTTTTTTAAATTCAATATTTTGTATTTGCTTGAAAACTGAGGAAATACAAGTATACCTTGAGTTATGTCATTTCAAGTTACGTCATTCTCGATTATACGTAGTTTGTCAAAAAAGTATATGGAAAAATAAAAATCAAGTTTAAGTCATTTTATTCGACTTTACGTCCATCTGCCACAAATATTGAAGTCATAATATCACTAGAAAAGCGTTAAAAGCACATAAAATTATATTAAAATATGTACATTTACAGTAAATGTTAATATAATAATCATAAATCTTAAAACATGAAATCATGTGTGTTTCTGTGTTGTCATCTTATTTAGCAGTTTTTAAGTGCTTCATCTGTGCTCGTTATTGGCGTTTTTCATGGTAGTTCCAATATCTGCCATTTTGCATCGTCATCAGCACCACTCAATATTGGTAAATTTAACATAAATCTTCTCTACTATCGCAAAATAATTTTAATAACTGTATTTGTTATTTAACCTTAAAAAATCATCTTATTTTATAATGTCTTAGAGAAACCACATTCACAAATAAAGAGTTTGCGATGTACTGTAAACATCACCAAATTGTAAACATGTACATTTACAAGTATGTACGTACTGTACATGTATTCATAAATTTAGATTACTTTTTTCTGTACTATATTAAAAACTAAAATTTATTTGTTTGTAAGCTTAAAATAGATTCTTATTAATCATATTTTATTAAAAATGTATTTATAAATAAAATAAAGAACTGGGAATGGTTATTTGTGGTTTAGCCTAGTGACAAGTAAATTCGTCATTTTTCAACTTAAGTCACCTCTCCTGGAACCGATTACCAATCTAAGGTGAGGTATACCTGTAATGAGGAAACAAACTTCTAGGTTTGAATTTACTTCTAAAGAGCAATCTATTTTTCTTGCTGTTGAAGGCATGAACAACTCTGAATTTTAAACATTATTATTTCAATATTCATAATATATATTTGAATGCATAAAATATCTATAATATAGTGATAGACAGCACGCTAATCATTTGTTACAAAAACTTTTACCATAGAAGCGTTAAATTAAATACGTATGTCACTAAATTGACGAGCGCTTTCGATGATACACACTTTCGTCTTCTTCAGGTCATTAGAAGATATAAGATCCTTTTTTGAATACAAAATTTAAAACATTCCAATCTTAATTAACATTTTGGAATAACAGCAACGGTAGAATATAAGAAGATATTTAAATAAAAACACACATGTTTATTACTGCGCATGCGTTAGACGTTTCTATATTGTGGATTTAGTTGTGATGTTTTATATAACTGTACAAACTGATCCACAAAGGGGGCAAATCCAGCGTGGGGGTGTTGCAGGGCTTTAATACGTTGGTGATGAGGGCTTCCTAGATATATACAAGATTTTTGTTGTTGCAATGTTTTAGTATGACCACATCATTCCACAGAGGGGTATGCTTGTGTTGTAGCACCATTCTGGCGAGTTCTGTGTCATTCCTGCCTTCCCTGATGGAATATTGATGTTCTAAAATACGGTTAGCTAACATTCTGGTTGTCGCACCAATATAATGGGTGTGACCGCCTAAATCATTCTCTAATGGGACTGAATAAA